AGCGCCGCCGCTGGCTGCAGGCAGAGTCGCTGCCGCCCGGCCGCCGCTGGCTCCAGGCCGCCGCCATTATCCTTTGTTCGCTGCGAGCGGCGGCGGGGTTGTGGGGCTCGGGCGGAGGCTCCATCTTTACCGCGGCCCCTCCTGCGAGGGGAAGGCCCCGCGCGCGGGCGTCCGGCGCCTCCCCGTCCCCCTTGCGTCCCCCCGGCTCTCTCCGGCTCCTGCCTCCTCCTCCTGTTCCTCTTACCGGTGGTACAAGCGCCTCCGTCACTGCTTTCGTTCGCGGCCCGGATCTCGCTGGAGTTTTATTCTCTCCCCCACGTAACACACCGCGTCAAACTACACCTCCGCCGCGTCACTCACCAACACTCCGCTTCTCCCAGCCGCCCGGGCCACAGGCAGCAGCAGCCGCCGCCGACTGAGGAGCCGCAGCCAGGGAGCCAGCCAGCGCCGCCCAGTGCCGAGTGCGCAGCGGCCGCGCACGGAAACAGCCGAGCGCCGCCCGGAGCCGCTCGGGCCGCCCCGCCCCCGCACTGCGGGCGGAACTTGCCGAGTGCCTTCGCGCTCTTTCGGGCGCGGCTGAGGGGTTCCGTACGGGCAGGGAAGGTGAAGGTGGGCTGTGACCTGGTGCTGGAGGAGCGGTTCAAACCTCACGCCGTAGGCTCTCTGAAGCGCGGCGGCGGAAATGTGGAGGAAGCGGGGTTTGTGTGGCCAGGTGGGGAATTCCCGGGTATTGGTCGCTGGATGGAAACCCCCGCGCGGGCCTGCGCCCGCGGCGGTTCGCGACTGCGGCGGCTCCTCAGTGCCGCGGGCTATGGGACGCGGTGGAGCGGCTGCGGGGGTCGGGGTGCGGGGCTCGGCGACGCCCGGGCCTGCAACCCGCGCTGGACGTGGGGTGGACGTCGTGGGCCCAGCTGGGGGCCGTGTTCCCGCCGAGAGTCAGCTGTCCTGTTGGAGGACCGGGCTGCGGGCCGCGTGGGTTCAGTCCAGCAGCGCGGACGGCCGGGGCCTCCGAGTGACCACCTCCCGGTCCCACGCTGCGCCCCGACTTTAGAAATGTGCCCCGCCTCACCTGCCCGCCTTGCTTCAGGCAGCACCCTGGGTTGCCTGCTCTCAGCGGTTTTCTACAGCGGTGGTTTGCACTTGCCGCACCCTCTTTTTCGCCCACCCCGCCCTGAACGGCAGTGTGACTTCCGTAGCTTAGAAGCTGCTGCAGTTGCTCTCAGAGGTCGTCCAGGGCCGAACACAGATTCTCCATTCTCATTTTTCTTGAACCCAGTAGTCCTCTTTCAGGGCTTTCCAGTCTTAAAATTCTTGGTCCTTCTGGGTTCGGCCCTTTGTGACTTCTGTCACAAAATGTTACCCTTCTGTCTGCCAGCTCCCATTCTTTGCAGCTTTCTCAGGGACATTGCCTCAAGAATATCCTTTTACTTTTAGCATTTGTTTCACTACCCCACCTTCTAAAATGTCACATCTCATTTCTCAAAACAAAATGAAGACTCCTCCCTAGATCCGTCCCTAACATCTCCATCTCTTACCCATGGCTGCTCTTTCCTATCCACTGCTCAACCCTCTCCAGTCTACCGTAGCTTCTATTCCTACCACTCATCTGAGGCATCTCGGAACTTTTAACATTAAACTCATGTCTGTCAGGTGGTTTTCAGGCCTCGTTTTACAAGACCTTATTCTAGCATTTCTTTTGGATGACTGGAGTCATCCCCAGACTCAATAAGGTCATCCTCAGGCCATCTGCTTGGTGTGAAATAAAAACCAAGCACATCTCTAATATAGATCAGGATCATCTAGATTTGTCTACTTCCTGAAAATTGGACTTCTGACCTCTGTTCCCATGCCATGTTTTTCATCCCCACTCTAGTCTAAGCTACCTTTATCTCTTGCTTTAAGTCTTGCAGTGATCACCATCCACATCTTTCAAAACTGCTCTTGCCTCATTCCAATTCATGTACAATACAGCTGCCAGAGTAATCTTAAAAAGACAAAGCCAATCAAACCACTACCCCTCTTAAATGTCTTCAGTACCTTCCCTTTGGTAGGTGAACACTATCTGCAGTCCATTATCTGAATTTGTCTTTTTTCCCGGCCTCTCTGACTGTCCCCCTTAACACTCTGTACTCTGGCTGTGTGAATTAATCTTTATTTTGTCGAGTCTTTCTACTGTGTTTTTCCCTACAGTTTCTTATCTCAAGGCATTTACTCGTGCCATTGGCTCGCCCTGGAATTCTCTCACCCAGTCGTATTGAACTACTCTTTCTGCACATTCATCATACTTGTAATTATTTGTTCAGTGTCCATATAATGTCTGCAGGGAAGAATCATATCTATCATATTCACTGCCTGCTTTTCTTTGTCCCTCCCATCCCTAGTAACACTATGGTGTCCATATAGTAGTACTCATTAAATATTTATTGAATAAATAGTGAATTTCTCTGTGATGCTGGGCAAAGTTCCTTAACATTTTTGGGTTTAAATCCTGACTCAGTGAATTTGGGGTGCTGTAATAAAGTGCCATAGTCTGGACATCTGATAACTAACCAATTAATTTCTCATGGTTTTGGAGTCTGACAGCCTGAGATTAGACTGCCAACATGTCAGGTTCTGATGAGGCCCTAACCTGGGTTGCAGATGGCCATTTTCTCCTTGCACCTCTTGCTGCTGCTGAGAGATTCCTTTTTAAAGGTCATGATCCCATTTATAACAATATTTTGGGTTTTTTTTTTTTTTTTTGGTACTGGAAATTGAACTCAGGACCTTGTGCTTGCTAGGCAAACCCTTGTGCCACTGAGCTATATCCCCAGCCCCTCATGATCCCATTTATAAAGGCTCCAATCTCACGACCTAATTGTCTCCCAAAGACTTCACCTCATACCATCATGTTGGCAGTTAGGATTTCAACATATGAATGGAGGGGGGCACCAACCCTGAGTTCATTGCACTGGCTCAGCCACTTACTAGCTGGGCAAGTTGTTTACTCTTGTGCTCCGGTTTTTCCAATCTGTAAAATAAAGATAAAAAACTATTCTCACCTACCTCATAGCATTATTGTAATGATTAAATGAAACAATACATATAAAATATACTTGGAGAACAGTATCTGGCATGTGATAAGAGTTAATAAGATGTTGCCTCTTACTAGTTTTTACTTGGATATATCATCTTTAGGTCAAATACATTTTCAAAATTGAGTCCATCATTTTCCTGCTTGTTTTTTTACCCTGGCCTATACATAATGCTAAAGTCTTGGAATCATGGATTCAGCCTGTTACCCACCACTGATGGTGGGTTTTTTATTTTAAACTTTTTTTTTTTGAGACAGGGTCTCCCTTTGCAGTTCAGGCTGGCTTTGAATTCACTTTGTAGCCCAGGCTGGTCTCGAACTTGCAGTGATCCTCCTGCCTCAGCCTCTCCAGTGCTGGGATTACAGGCATGTGCCACCACACCTGGCTATTTTAAACTTTTCTTATGTTGACTATTCCCTTTTATTCCCACTGACCTTCATTTAGGCTTTATCTCATTGCATCGAAGTTACTTTGCTAGTCCTAGGTGCCTTATAACTGTAAGACCACTTGACCTATTTACTTGTGTCATACTGTAAAACACAGTATGACTTGTGTCATAGTGTAACTTTAACGGTTATTAAAGCATGTATTCTTGATTTCTGTTCTAGTGCCCTCTGCATCCACCTAACTTTGTTCGTTTACTCAGTTATTCATTCAAGTGCAACTTTGGGGTATACTGTAATCCAGATTTGAAATCCTAATTTCTTATATTCTCCTCCAGCCTTTGCATAAACTAGAAATATCAAACTTTTCTCTTCCAATTTTTGTCTCTGGGACTTGTCACCCCCATTTTTTTTCAGTTTCCCAAATGGAAGATATGGTCAGTACTATGGAGAAGAAACATATCAAAGCAAAGGAGAGCATATGGGTAGAGCTTGGCACAGTAAAAGATAGATGAGTGTCTTGAAAGAGGCCCAGGAAGGGGGAGGTCCCCTGAGATGATTATAAAAGGCTTCAAGGAGAAAGTGGTATTCAAAAGCTTTTCTCTAACCACAACTTCCTTTTCCTGTTATTTTTCTCTCTTGCTTCTGCTGGTCAACCTAATGTTCACCATTACATGGTTCAAGGTCCATGAACCCTGCCTGTCCTAGTTCATCACCTCTTATGACAATTATTTTCCTTACCTAACCCCATGGCTATGATGACCTATTTCATTTATTCTAAAAGTATCTGTTAAGTACCAACTTTGCGCTGTGCACTTTTCTAGTAATTGGGATGTCTCTGCTCTCAAAGACACTAAAATCTTCCAGTTCAAGCATTTCTCTTTACTCACCCCTTCATGTTCTCATCCAGTATCATTTTTGTAAATACTGTGTCTGTTGGCCGTGCTCAAAATTACGTCTCCCCAATTCTCCCTCCCAAACTCCAGACTCTTAATTGCCTACTCACATGTCCACTTGGATGTTGTCTTAGTTTGTATTCTCTCAGGAAACAGGACCTAAGGCAAAGTCTGCTACTGTCTTAGTGGGGAGTAGAGTCCCAGGGAAATCTGTTAAATCAGGTTGGAAGTCAAGAATCAAAGAGGTATTTCCAGTAATAGTTCTCTCACCTCACTCCAGTGCACACTTACAGTAGTACCTGCATTTTTGTGTGGGTACAAAACACAGACTTTTAAAATATGTATCCTGGGCATGAGGAAAAACATCTACCTGAGGTTAATAGGCCAGAGGTAATGGTGCAGTGGCCAGAAGCCGCACAGGCAAGCAATTCCAAGAAGATCTGAGGTGCTATGCATGTCTACTGACCTCAAATTCTGTATGTCCAAAGCAGAACTGGTTGTCTCTCTTATTTCACAGCTGCAGCCTTTCCCATCTTTACTGGTAAGGTAAAAATCTTGCCTGATTTCTTAGAGCCTTCTTTTCTCTCACATCTATTCCATCTGAAAACTTTACTGTACCTTCAAAATATATCCCTAAACTAACTACTTACCATTAAAGCAAGTAAGTTGGGTCCACAGTACCTTTGTTTCTTGCCCAGATTGCTGCAATAGTATCCTCTTCTTTTTTTTTTTTTGTCTTTTTGAGTCTCGCTGTGCAGTTCAGGCTTGCCTTGAGCTCACTTTGTTACCCAGGCTGGCCTTGAACTTGCTAAGATCCTCCTGACTCAGCCTCCTGAGTGCTGGGATTACAGGCGTGTGCCACCACACCCTGCAATAGTATTTTAAACTCCACTACATTTTCCTTTGCCATACACTAGTCACGTGTCTGCCTTACCATCTTGGGCTGTTCCAGTACTTAAAATGCATTTTTCCCCCCCAAATAGCCAGAGAGCTATCTCACCTTCAGATCTTCCCAGCAAGATTTGAAATTCTCTCAGAGGCTTTGATTATACAACTTAAAATTGCAGCTTGACACTCACCTCTAGCATCCTCATACACATCTCAGTTTTCTACAGTCAATCTCTTTTTTTCTTTCTTTCTTTCTTTCTTTCTTTCTTTCTTTCTTTCTTTCTTTCTTTCTTTCTCTTTCTTTCTTCTGACATAAGATTTCCTACCTTTAAACATACTACCTATCTTACTTCTTTTTATGTTTAGTGTTGACTATTTACTCTATGAAAATATAAATTTTATAAACCAGCTGTTTGGAACTATGCCCTGATAAATGTTCAGTATATATCTGTTAAATGAATTTCCAGCTTGCCTGCCTTCAGTCTAGATTAACTTTTATGATTTTACTTTCTATTAAAATGAGAGGTGTATAATGGATTTCCTCCTTATTTGAGATTTCCTATTGTCTTAGTATAATGGCTATTTCTGTATGATGAATCAATTGAAATCCTTAATATGTCTATTTATAAAGGCAAAGAAC